AATAGTCACCAAAGGATCCACACTGGGGACAGACCATATAAATGCATGGAATGTGGAATGACCTTTATCCGGAAAGAACAACTTAATAGTCACAAAAGGATCCACACTGGGGACAGTCCATATAAATGCATGGAATGTGGTAATACCTTTACCTGGAAAGGAAGTCTTAATCGTCACCAAAGGATCCACACTGGGGACAATCTGTATAAATGCATGGAATGTGGAAAGAGCTTTACCCGGAAAGGAAATCTTAATCATCACGAAAGGATCCATACTGAGGACAGACCGTATAAATGCATGGAATGTGGAAAGAGTTTTATTAGCAACAGTCATCTTAATTACCACCAAAGGATTCACAGTGGGAAGCGGCCATATAAGTAGATAGACTGGAAAAAGCTATAGTGGGAAAGCTCATCTTAATTGTCATGAAAGAATCCACACTGGGGATAGACCGCATTAATGCACAGAGTATGGAAATAGCTTTACTTGGAAAACACAATTCTCATAAAAAGCATATAAATCCATGGAGGGTAGAAAGAGCCTTTCTGAGGAAAGGCAATAGTGGCCACCAAAGTATTGGATGGTAAATAATATATTTATATTATAAATTCAACACGTAAAGGAGAAAAGTATAATTCCAAGAAATATTTTTAGCTTATTCTTGATCTTTAGTCATACAAATTCTTGATAAATTGGTTACGGGCCATCAAATGAGCAGGGGTCTGCAAACACTCAAAGAGCCACTTGGACCCGTTTCCCAGAGAAAAGATAACACTGGGAATTGCAAAAGTTGTGCCTGTGCGTGCGAGGGGGGGGGAGAGCTTGATTGAAGAGTTTAATTAAAAATAAATAGGGGCTGTTGTGCATGAGTTCTCTTCCTCTCCCTCTCTCTGTTACCTCTCTTTCTCACACTTTCCCTCTCTCCCTCTTTCTCTTTCCTCCCCTCTCCCTCTCTCCCTCTTTTTCTTTCCCTCTCCCTCACTTTCTCACTCTTCCTGTTTCTCTTTCCTCTCTCCTCTTTCCTCCCCCCTCTTTTTCTCTCCCTCTCCCTTTTTCTCTCCTCTCCCTGTCCCTCTCTTTTTTCTCTCCCTCTCTTTCTATTCCTTTTTCTCTCTTTCCTCTCCCTCTCTCTGATCTTCTGCTCACTTGGCAAGCTGACACACATTCCATGACGGCCTTGGACTTGACCCAATTAATACATGCCCCCACTCACACGGGTGGACACACACTGGATCTGATTTTTGTCTCGGGCCAGTGGCAAAATGATCTGGCATTAGGGGAGATAGTTATTGAGCCCTTGTCATGGTCAGATCATTCTCTCCTAAGGATGGACTTCCGGACCGCCCCCCCTCGCCGCAGGGAGATGGAACCGCCTAGATGGTTCCGTCCCAGGCGACTGATGGACCCTGAGAGGTTCCTGACGGAGCTTGGGCCATATCCGGAGGATCTGTTCCATGACTTGGCGGAAAATCAGGCGGCGGCTTGGGAGACAACTGCCGCCGCAGCATTGGACCGAGTCGTGCCTTTGCGGCCTCTGACCCGGCGTAGATCTCGATTGGCTCCCTGGTTCACCGAGGAGCTGAGAGAGATGAAACGTCGGAAAAGAGGCCTAGAGAGCAGTTGGAGGGCCAGCCGAACCGAACCCGACCGAACACAGGTTAGGATACATGTTAGATCCTACCTAGTGGCGATGAGGGTGGCTAGGACTAACTACTATTCCTCGCTCATCGTGTCATCAGATAACCGCCCGGCCGCCCTCTTCAGGGTGACCCGCTCTCTCCTCCAACTGAGGGGAGGGGGGGGTCCCCTGGAGGGGAGGGCCGAGGACTTTGCGCAATATCTGCATGACAAAGTCGCGCGGATCCGGGAAGGCTTGGACTCCGACTGGTTGGCCCAGGGGGAGGAGACGGAAGCAGGTCTTGAGACGGTTGTATGGGAGGAGTTTGACTCTGTTGCTCCCGAGGACGTGGACAGGGTCTTGGGAGGGCTGAACGCAACCACA